TATCTATCTATCTATCTATCTATCTATCTATCTATCTATCTATCTATCTATCTATCTATCTATCTATCTATCTATCTATCTATCTATCTATCTATCTATCTATCTATCTATCTATCTATCTATCTATCTATCTATCTATCTATCTATCTATCTATCTATCTATCTATCTATCTATCTATCTATCTATCTATCTATCTATCTATCTATCTATCTATCTATCTATCTATCTATCTATCTATCTATCTATCTATCTATCTATCTATCTATCTATCTATCTATCTATCTATCTATCTATCTATCTATCTATCTATCTATCTATCTATCTATCTATCTATCTATCTATCTATCTATCTATCTATCTATCTATCTATCTATCTATCTATCTATCTATCTATCTATCTATCTATCTATCTATCTATCTATCTATCTATCTATCTATCTATCTATCTATCTATCTATCTATCTATCTAGCTGTATGTCTGTCGATATTTGTTTGCAGCAGCACAGGCACCACTTTTATTCCACGCGGATGGACTAAGGTCATCCCCACAACCCAACCCCGGTTACGCCCTATAGGCCAACCCCTCCCTCCCTCCTTAGACACCTAGTGTACGTTGTTGGCGTCCAGCCCGTCCCTTTTTTTGCCCCTACCTGCGCGTTGGAGGTATATAGGTGACCGTCGTTTCATTTGAACGAAGTTTTTTCGCCAGGGACACTAGATGAGTATCGTTTATTTTATACATTAGAGTCCTATGTAGTCACTTCATAGTTAGAGCCTATTTGTGTATGTGTACTGTGTTGTCCTTTATGTGCTGATGAAGGCTAATCGCCGCAACGTCCTTTGTTTGTTTATTGTGATCGATTTTGTAAAGCTAACATAAACTAATTGTTATTTCTTACCAACTTTTTCTCTTCCCTATAATTTTCTACTCCTTATAAAAAAAATCCGATACACCTGCGTGTTCTCCTGTCAAAGTACTCGTCGTGCCTCTCCCAAAACGGCAATATATCTGTTTCTCAAAAATGCAGTTGATAAAATCAAATGCCAGCTCGGGAAATATATAGCCTTTTTTTTTTTAGGTTAGTTAGTTAGTTAGTTAGTTAGTTAGTTAGTTAGTTAGTTAGTTAGTTAGTTAGTTAGTTAGTTAGTTAGTTAGTTAGTTAGTTAGTTAGTTAGTTAGTTAGTTAGTTGGGTTATCCTCATTGCACTCCGGACATGTCCATAGGTGCTCAGATCCACCCCAACGTCCGATGGCTAATAGTACCAGTTCTATGTTGATTCACAAGTCTTCTGGCGTGTCTGGTGTGCGTCTCGTTTTTTGCTGTGCCGATCTTAATTCCCAAGTCTGCCATTCTGGCGAGTGATGTGGATTCACTGCCACCAAAGTCCTCTATCCTTCCCATTTCTCTGAGGGCATTGATAATATCAGCATGATCCATAGGCTGACCGTCGGTATTTTTTTTTTTTTTTAGGTTTTTATTAGAAACAACCATTGTAGTTATGCAGCTATATAGCTATCAGATATAACCTTCTCTGACAATTCTAAGAACGATTAAAATCTTTTTCGGGTGTGGCAAGTGTGAAGATGCTCAAACGGAGCCGTCTTTGTCAGTATAGGCCACAGCTACATGACAGGAACATTTTTGTGAATACTGTCGATCGTGTTTATAACCTGCTTTATGAAATTCATTAACATGTATATCTATATCGCTACTATACAATTTTGCTCTAGGGATAACTAACCGTCTCTTATTGGAAAATCGTCTTCAGATGTTGGGAGTTCAGGTATCTTCAGTCCTACAAGGATTATGGTAGCCATTTTTAAAAAAAATACAATCCTCATTTATTTATTTGTTATCATTTGTTACTTATATTTTAACCTCCTCTGCTGCTTCATTAGGTTCCTGTTTCGTTCTACACTGGCTCCTCCTGTTCTTGTGTGTACGTGTTTCGTATTGCCACCCCATATGATTCTGTTTGTAACGATAACGGTTGTGTTATTCAATAATTTAAAATATGAAGGAAACGTCCCGCTGGATTAGTATGTGTTTTACATTAACCTCCACTGCGATTGCAAGCCAAAGTTTGTTTAAGTTTATTTATTCAGTTTCTAACCTCAGTGTGTTGTCAATGTAACTAACTGTTTTCTTTGTTTTCATTTTATAATAATGCTAAATCGTGCGTGAGAGGTTTAGCTTTCCACGTCTGAAACTCTGGTATTATTAGGACCAGTGTTACCTATGTATTTTTGTGTTCTAATGTATTTTTGTTACTGTGTGGGTGTATGAATGGATTTGTAGATAGACGGACGAACTTATGGGTGGGTGGGTGGGCGAATGGGTTGAAGAAAGCTAGTAACTTACTGGGTATTCTTATAATACGGTGCAGTCATTCATGATCAACTGGCTAAAGTGATAATGGTATAGCTATAACATATATCCTAGAACGATTACAGTGTAAGTATATCAACTCTGCCACATCTATCTATACTTGTCTTACCTTTGTGTTTGTCCCTGAAGTGGGACAGATACGCCGAGTCATCCGGGTAGAAATAGCGCATGGCTGAATCGTACGGGTGGGATACCACTGAAACAACATAGGGCTCAAATTATGGTCAGGATTTCGTTTTTTGTTACGTCTTAACGTTGTCATGGTTGTTTGTTCATTTGTGGGCTTTAGACTTATTCCAGAACTTGAGTTTTTGGGCAGATTTCTTTTACAGATCCGGCTAATGTGAACGCAGAATGTTGATTACTAGCCTGTCAGTCATATGCATTCCCGACTTTGAAGGAAACACCCCTGTTAGTCGCCTTGTATGACATAGGGGCTCTATGAAAGAAATAACAATTAACAGATAACAGTGGCTCTGCTGGCTCTCCTGTCTCGGCGACCGTGCTCCGCACGTTACCCTAGGGTGTTGATTGTTGTTGTGATTGCTGTTGTTGCACGAAGTCAGTTTTTGAGAATTAAAACTGACATACAACGGCTTCATTCTGTTTAGTTCAAATCAGTGTGTACTGTTGTGTGATATCAGCACTGAACTGTGAATATGTTCATGGGTACTCCGATCTCATCCACAATAAAACAGGTTCAAATACATCCCTACGTCCTTCGCCTCCCTGAAATACTTTTTTGAGACCACTGTTTGGTTGGTAAGACTTTCTTAGACTATACTTTGTTCGGACACATTTCTGAGAACTGAATCTGGTTCGTAATATATTTCTCAGATCTATGGTTGGTTAAAATATATTTCTTAGATCTGTGATTGGTTAAAATATATTTCTTAGATCTATGGTTGGTTAAAATATATTACTCAGATCTATGGTTGGTTAAAATATATTTCTTAGATCTATTTATTAGATCTATGGTTGGTTCAAATATATTTCTTAGATCTATGGTTGGTTAAAATATATTTCTCAGATCTATGGTTGGTTCAAATATATTTCTCAGATCTATGGTTGGTTTAAATGTATTTCTTAGATCTATGGCTGGTTTAAATGTATTTCTCAGATCTATGGTTGGTTCAAATATATTTCTCAGATCTATGGTTGGTTTAAATGTATTTCTCAGATCTATGGTTGGTTAAAATATATTTCTCAGATCTATGGTTGGTTCAAATATATTTCTTAGATCTATGGTTGGTTCACATAGATCTAATATATTTCTTAGATCTATGGTTGGTTCAAATATATTTCTTAGATCTATGGTTGGTTCAAATATATTTCTCAGATCTATGGTTGGTTCAAATATATTTCTTAGATCTATGGTTGGTTTAAATTTATTTCTCAGATCTATGGTTGGTTTAAATGTATTTCACAGATCTATGGTTGGTTTACATGTATTTTTTAGATCTATGGCTGGTTTAAATGTATTTCTCAGATCTATGGTTGGTTGAAATGTATTTCTCAGATCTATGGTTGGTTAAAATAATTTTCTTAGATCTGTGGTTCGTTCAAATATATTTCTCAGATCTATGGTTGGTTAAAATATATTTCTCAGATCTATGGTTGGTTCAAATATACTTCTTAGATCTATGGTTGGTTGAAATGTATTTCTCAGATCTATGGTTGGTTTAAATGTATTTCTTAGATCTATGGTTGGTTTAGATGTATTTCTTAGATCTATGGTTGGTTGAAATGTATTTCTCAGATCTATGGTTGGTTTAAATGTATTTCTTAGATCTATGGTTGGTTGAAATGTATTTCTCAGACCTATGGTTGGTTTAAATGTATTTCTCAGATCTATGGTTGGTTTAAATGTATTTCTCAGATCTATGGTTGGTTCTTAGATTCGTGATGCATGTCACATCCCTAAGCAACTATATTGTCTGAGTAGCGAATCTGGATTTATTCGACAGTGTTGACAGAATGGATCATAAATTCTTTAGGGCACGGGTAAGGTGTTTGTCTCAATAAAATGGAACACAATATCACAGTAATGAACTCTTACCTTCGTGTGGACTGTGTTGGCTGGAGAGGTCAGGTCGGGTCAAAGTTGAACATGTGCCTGATGTTTCTGCAATTGTGAGCGTATTCATTAGACTGGTGGGTGGCTGGATGGGTGGGTGGCTGGATGGGATGGGATGGGATGGATGGATGGATGGATGGATGGATAGATTGATTGGATGGATGGATGGATGGATGGATGGCTGGCTGGATGGATGGATGGATGGATGGATGGATGGATGGATGGATGGATGATGGATGGATGGATGGATGGATGGATGGATGGATGGATGGATGGATAGATAGATGGATGGCTGGATGGATGGATGTATGGATGGATAGATAGATCAATGGAACGATTAACGGAAGGACGGATGTATATGTGGATGGATTAAATAAGTTGATGGATGAATACTTGGATGCGAGTGTCGGAGGGTACTTGGGCTGAAGTTGGTTGAAGGAATGATGGATGGATGGATGGATGGATGGATGGATGGATGGATGGATGGATGGATGGATGGATGGATGGATGGATGAATATGGATGGGATGGATGATGGATGGATGATGGATGGATGGATGGATGGATGGGTGAATATGTGGATACATGTCTGGATGTGAGCGTATGTGAGTAGAAGGAAGGAAGGGGGCGCAGGTAAGTAAAAGGAGGTGGCGTGGCTTTGTAGATGGCAGGATGCTATGATGAATGAATGGGTTGCTGGTTTGTGGATAGATAGATGGATGCTTGGGTCGGAAAATGGATAGATGGATTGATGGATGAATGAAGGAATGAATGGATGGATCAATGAACGTATTTTTTTATTGGCTGGTTTTATGTATGTACTGGGGAATGGAGGAATGGGCTGATGTGTGGGTGGGTGAAGGGATGGATGGACAGATTAATGAATGTACATCAAGAGCAAACAAAATGTCACTGAAACCACCGCTACAAACATGCTTTCATACCGATGATTGTTTATGTTTTACTGAGATTGGCAGTCAAAGTTGCAGTTCCTTGATTTATTTCTCCCTACAGTAGACCCCAGGATCGACCCATCCTCAACGTGCAGATGTCAGATAACGTTGACAATTGTGTGGATCTAGCCACCCGCACCCCCTCCCCCACCCCCTTACTCCACCCTTACCATGTGTCGGCCTACAATATGTAAAGGTGTAACACTTCACATCTCAACATTTCCGTGTGGGTTCCGGGACCTCGTGGGGGGGGAAAACCAGAATAGACCAACTGCCTCCCCCAAGCATGTCGTAAGAGTATTTGGGAGCTTCCTTCAAACCTAGACCGCATCTGTCTGGTAGGCAATGAATAAAAAATCTACACACAGATAAGTCACATTTGTAAAAACTGATATTCACCCAACACATAGGCTCTGAAAGAAGACTAAAGTCCAGAGGTAGACGAACAACCAAAACTTTCCGCTGGAGTTGATGTTTGTTAAGCCAATGTTTGAGCCTTTTCTCTTCATGATGGTTCTGCCTAGAGTCTCTCATGGTCTTCCCCAGTTTCCTTTCACTGCCGGTATCCATATGAGGGTTTGATGGGGAAAGCTTGTCTGATCCATTCTGAGTGCATGTCCGAGTTAGTTCCAGCGGCGCTTTCTTATACGATTGGATTCATTATCTTGACTGGTCTCTTGTCTTATTTGCGTATTGGATCTTAAATCTGCACAGTGGAGATTTAGTATTCTTCTAAGACATTTGTTGAAGTTCATGCAGTAACGTTGAGTAATCCTGTTCAGTGTGTATCAAATATCACCTGCGTCGACTTTACTTTCCCAGCCATATCTATGAAACCCACTTTATGCAGCCAGAGCGAACATTTTGAAAAACCTTTTCCTTTTCGGGCATCCTTTGGCTAACGGAATGGGAACCCTGGAAAAACTGGGCGGGCAAAAAGATAAATTTTAAAAACAAGAATTATTTTGTTGCTGGCGATGTGTTTCAGACCAGGGATATGTTGATGATTTCTGGTTCCAGCTTGTATGTGTCCGACTGTGTGTGTGTGTGGGGGGGGGGGGGGGGAGGAATGGGGGGGGGGGGGGGGGGGGTGCTCGTGTATGTGTGTCCGCGTGTTATGTGCAGCCGTGAAACTGTTACTGACGGTTGCTGCCGGCGAGACCTGGTCCCCAACCTATCTAGATGACCCTTGAGTAGACACGGACAAGAACCATTAGCAAGACAGATTAGGTACAATTACAAAATAAAAAGCGAGAGACGTCATGTGAGACCACATATTTCCACTGCTCTTAGGCTATAACATATACATAACCAACATACTACTCCATAGGAACACAACTTAAGCGACAAAAAATAAACATAGGAATTCGGGGGGTGGGGTTGGGGGGGGGGGACTGGATGTCTAGTAACCCTACCATCAAAACATAACGGCGTCCTCCTCAGTCCAAGTGACTGTGAAAATGTTCGATAAAAGCTTACATGTAAAGTACATTGGGAAAACGATGTGGCAGCTAAACAGAAGCCCGACTGATTGACCTTTTACCCCACCAGGACATCACACCGAACGATAAACCCCAGTGACACAAAGTGCCACCATTCCGATGAGGATCACCCGGGCATAGGTACCTGAAGCCCGTACAGCCCACAGGCTGTGTTATTTTAGGGCCTCCGACAACAGCCGCTTTAAAAAAAACGAAAAAAAAAATGGGGTGCCAGATGGGGACGGGAAGATGTTGACAGAGAATCCAATGATTTCATCTGAATATATGCCCATGGACGTGTTATTGAGGTTTCATTGCAGTATAGGTATACTGTACAACCCAGCTGGCACAGCCATATCTCGCCATAATGAAACACTCGAAGCTGCAATAGATACATTCTCTCAAGCAATACTTCTGAAGGCAGACATAAGTGTTGCTACATCAAGTGCAAAACGCTTTCTAGGAGGACTACACTTCTGAATAATCACAATCGCCAGGAGGTACTGTCCTCAGTCTTCTCTCGCCCTCCTCGACTCGCATAGCGACACTCTCGTGTCAAGGAATCTGGGCCTACATCTGCAAGTGTTTTGACCATTAAGACTTTTTTTTAAATGCTTGTGCTTTTCCTGATGTCTTGCCATTCAAAAGCATTTCCTGTCATACTTTTGACCAGATTTTGATTTATTCCAGGCGCGTTCTCCGGCCCTTCAGGGCCGACTCTGAAGCTGAGCTGTCTGTTGACCCCAGAGAATCCTGCCACCGTTTGCGTCACAGAAAGACGATGGAGCAACTAAGCCCCGGACTTCTGACTGTATTACAGAATTCACACGGAAAGACATCTATAGTAACTTGGGCATTAGTTTCTATTGCTTTTGTAGAAGCGTTTAATTTCTAAAGCAGCTTTGGTGAAAGGTATGAATACGAGATGGTGTTTCAATGTGTTTTCATTTCACAAAAACTGTGAGACAACACCATATTTCAATCTGGGAAATGTGGTACCGAAAGTACTATCTGCGACTTAAGCAATGCGCGGACTATGCTATGGTCCTACCGTAATCTTTTAGTCATTGTTCCTGTCAGTTTTTGATCGCTTTCATTCTAGCAGACCATTCTTGTCTGTTTGCTGGCGGGGATTAGCCTAATCCCTGGCCTCTCCAGCGCTCACGGAGACAAGATAATTTGATTAGGTCGTCTGCCGGAGCCAGTGAGATCTTGTTTTTGTCCAAGATTTGATTGACAGGCTGCGCTGCGGGTGCTAAGGTTGTCACATTGTCATCGCCAGGAATCAACCGCAGATGGGCTCAGAGCTGTTGAGTGTGTGAGCAGTGATACGCTGGCGACAGCAGCCCGTGACTTCTACCTTAAACACACACCCGACACAACAACTCGGTCAAAAATTCACACAACCATACCAAGTCAATCACAACTAAAACAAACATTTTGCCGGGCGGCGTTAGCAGAAGCCATTTTTCTGCTTTCCACATTAGCCTTAAACGTGAGATAGTTTGGACTGTGACTGATGAACATATACAGTTCTTCCGGATTCTATTGGAAGGGGGGTCATACGTAGGCAGGAGCAGGCGGGGCCAAACAATCGATTTCCTGTTCAATGGACAGTTGTTGCTAATAGCCAGTCGGTTGATTGTAGAGATGTTGGGACACCGTGTCAGGCGTGGTTAGAAACAGATTGGAGAATCTACATACAGACTATCTAAGGCTGTGTTGCGTCATCTGGTACTGATTTTCCCGCATCTCTATTGTAAGCATGTTGTTGTGTTCCAGTACTGTTTATAACAGATTCGGTTTTTGACGCGTTAGTTGGCTGACGACTAACACTTCTGGTGTCGCATAGTCCGCCCTTGCTTTTCTCCAATAAAATTCTCAAAACTGCTATTGCCGTAGTTTTGATGTGCACGTGTGTCATTGCTATCACTGTAACCCTTAGGTCTCTGGTAAAACGTGACACCTATAGTTGTATAGCACAATAACGATTGACTGAAACGAAAAGTTTTCAACAATTAGCGTGCCCGGCTCTCTAGGATAGTTGGACTGCGCGGTGACCGGGTGACGAACTCCTTGTGGTCAGGGTTCACACCCGGGGGTAGGCAGAAAAGCCACATTTCTCCCAGATTTACGGTATTTACAATGGAATCAATGCAGAAAGGTTGCGATATCCATAAAACCGAGCCTAAGGATTAACAATTCATGGCTTCTGAATACCAAAACAAACATTCAACAATTAGCATCAGCAACAGAACAAGTTCAGTGTCCCTCTATAAATATGCACAGTACTTCACTATGTGTGTCTCTGCCTTAGGTCTTGTCATTGCAACTTCCCCTAATACTAGGTTCCATTCAACTGCGGGAGATTTGTTTTTGTGACGATTTCGACAATGGTATGAGCGTCGATTTGTTCCGAAACCAATGGCAAACTGCTAATTACTGCCTCTATTAGACCACTTTTGCCGTGTAGGCAGGAGTAAGGAGGGGTGGGAAGGGGGGGGGGGGGGGGGGTTGGCGTTGAGCCAGGGAATTTATGGCCTGCGTGGCTAATGCAGTCGCCACGGACTGTGCAGGTGAGAATTTTATTCTGCCCCCGACAATTGGCAAGCTACTGAACGTAAAATTATATTTAAAACCAAACACTGCCAGCAAATTCGAGGGCTTTCTTCAACGTGCTCTAAAGGATATGTAACTAGCCTGTGACAGTTGTTGTTAGTGCTGACCCATTCCGGACTTCAGCTGACGTGGTAACCGTCAGCGGCCCGACATAACCTCACGGTTGAGCGGGATTTGTGGAATGTGTACCTCCGGACGGGAGACGAGATGTTCGCATCGCAGCTGTGACACTTTTGGTCAGCGGGTAATAATCGGTCAGTATGGGGCCCTAGTGAAGTCTATCAAGGGTAGTCAGTCACTGACAGTACTTTACCAAGTGTGGTCAATCACTGAAATTACTAAACCAGGGGTAGTCAGACAATTCAATCACAATTTAACCAAGGGGTAGTCGATCACTGACAGTACTTCACCACGGGTAATTAATCACTGACAGTACTTCACCTTCGGAAATCAATCACTGACTGTACTTCGCAATGGGAAGTCACTCACTGGCAGTACTTTACCATAGGTAGTATTCACTGACAGCACTTCATCAGGGGGTAGTTAATTACTGACAGTAGTTCATCAAGGGTAGTTAATCACTGACAGTACTTAACCAGGGGTAGTCAATCACCGATAGTACTTTACCAGGGGTAATCAATCGTTAACATTACCTCACAAGGGGTAGTTAATCAATGACAGTTCTTCGCCAGGGGTAGTCAATCACTGACAGTACTTCACCAAGATGTAGACAAACACTGACAGTACTTCACCAGGGGTAGTCAATCACTGACAGTACTTCACCAGGGGTAGTCAATCACTGAAGTACTTCACCAGGGGTAGTCAATCACTGACAGTACTTCACCAGGGGTAGTCAATCACTGAAGTACTTCACCAGGGGTAGTCAATCACTGAAGTACTTCACCAGGGGTAGTCAATCACTGACAGTAATTCACCAGGGGTAGTCAATCACTGAAGTACTTCACCAGGGGTAGTCAATCCCTGACAGTATTTAACCAGGGGTAGTCAGACATACAGACACACTAGAACAGACAGACACACTAAAACAGACAGACACACTAGAACAGACAGACACTAGAACAGACAGACAGACACACTAGAACAAAACAGACACACTAGAACAGACAGACAGACACACTAGAATAGACAGACAGACACACTAGAACAGACAGACAGATACACTAGAACAGACAGACACACTAGAAAAGACAGACAGATACACTAGAACAGACAGACAGACCGACAGACACACTAAAACAGACAGACAGATACACTAGAACAGACAGAGAGACATACTAGAACAGAGAGAAACACAGACACACTAGAACAGACAGACACACTAGAACAGACAGACAGACACACTAGAACAGACATACAAACATAATAGAACAGACAGAAACACAGACACACTAGAACAGACATACAGACACACTAGAACAGACAGACAGACATACTAAAACAGACAGACACACTAGAACAGACAGACAGACAGATAAAATAGAACAAACAGACAGACATACTAGAACAGACAAACAGACACACTAGAACAGACACACTAGAACAGACAGACAGACACTAGAACAGACAGACAGACACACTAGAACAGACAGACACACTATAACAGACAGATACACTAGAACAGACCGACAGACATACTAGAACAGACAGACAGATACACTAGAACAGACAGACAGACCGACAGACACACTAGAACAGACAGACAGATACACTAGAACAGACAGACAGACAGATACGCTAGAACAGACAGACAGATACACTAGAACAGACATATATACAGACACATTAGAACAAACAGACAAACAGACAGAGATGCACCCACCGCAGCATGTACTAGAGTCGAACGTGATGTCCCTGGGTTCCTGCTTGACACTGACGTCATTGACGTGGTAGCCGTACCGATGGTCGGCCATGTTGAAGTTCCGCTCCGTGAACTCTGGGTGCTTGAGGAAGGGCGGGATGATGTTGTATGAGGTGTGTAACGGGTGGGTGGGTTGTGAGTGGGCCTGGGGAGGGAATGAGGTGTGTCCATGGTGGTGGGGGAAGAGAGGTGGTGGGCTCAGGTAACCATAGTTAGGCTGAGAGTGAGGCCGTGGATACCTGATGAAATCAAGACACACAAAAAGCAAAAATTAACGTTATTCACTCATACAATAACTCAGAATGGATAAGACAAGACTTTCCTATCAAACCCTCATATGGTTACCGGAAGGAAAAAGAAAACGGGGAAGACCAAGAGAGAGAATACGTAGAACCATCATCAGGGAAAGCTTAACGAACATCTAAGACATAAAACAGAAAGCAACAAACTGCCAGACATGGAGAGCTATGACCTCTGCTCTATGCACCGCCCTAGATCCGAGACGAAAGACAAACTAACTAACTCATACAATTAGAAGCCCCTCATCATGAGTTTGTGACCTTTCACATATATGAAATACTTGTCCTAATCTGTGGTGTGCGCGTGTGTACTGTGTGTATGTGTATTGTGCGTGTTAAAGAGAGAGAGAGAGAGAGAGAGAGAGAGAGAGAGAGAGAGAGAGAGAGAGAGAGAGAGAAAGAAAGAGAGAGAGAGAGAGAGAGAGAGAGAGAGAGAGAGAGAGAGCGCTCGCGTATGGTATTGGCGAGGCGTGGTCAATTCGCATATGTGAGTGTTATCAAGTAACAATTACACTGGAAGTAGAATCACATGATATTTTCCTCCTCGTCGCTTCGCTGTTGATAATATGCGCGCAAAGATACAATTGAAGTACTAGTAACTATAGATTTAAACACGAGTGAGCGCTCTTTTCACTATGTCTGAGTAAACGAACTGGAGTATTTGTAATAAATAGTAAACAGTAATAATAAATAATGTTTTCTTTGGCAATTTTAAGTTAAAGCGACGGTTACAACCGTTATATACAGTGGGTGGGCTGTGGAATCCAGTTGTGATACTAATCGATTCTGCAATTATTGTCACTTCCGCCCTTGGTAATCAAAATGTTATTATTAGAAGTATATCGTCACGAAACACATATTCGAGTAGTTACATTATTATGAGAGACTGAGTGCAAGGCGTGTTCCTGGTACCCAACAAGTCAAAATAAAATAAATGAAAAAAAAAAAACTGTGATAAAACAGCAACAATTACAATAACGACACGACAGACTGAAAATGAAACCGAAGAAGAAAAACTGTGTGATGATCTAAGTAATTGCTGGGGCATTTTAATGTTTGGGCTCAATGCAATAAAGCACAAAATTACCATAGTTAATGAGCTCGGTCGGACAAACGATGACATGTCTCATACAAGCAACAAAAACACCCCCCCCCCCCCCCCCTCTCTCCTTTTTACCATCATGAGTGTATAAGTTGCTGTTTGAGAATAAAGGAAATCTTTTTACAGTCACTATTTTCCACACAGAAGTTCATGTTCAATCAATCAACCCATCAGTCAACCAATCACTTATCGTTTCCAGGATGAAGACTAGCAATGAATCTCCAACACTCTCTCCCTCTCTCCCTGGTTATATACTCTCTCAGACTGCTGCCTCTCTTCCTGGTTTTATGCTCTCACAGACTGCTGCCTGTCTCCCTGGTTATATGCTCTCACCGCTGCCTTTCTCCCTGGTTATATGCTCTCACAGACTGCTGCCTGTCTCCCTGGTTACATGCTCTCACAGACTACTGCCTGTCTCCCTGGTTATATGCTCTCACAGACTGCTGCCTGTCTCCCTGGTTATATGCTCTCACAGACTGCTGATTGTCTCCCTGGTTATATGTTCTCACAGACTGCTGCCTGTCTCCCTGGTTATATGCTCTCTCAGACTACTGCCTCTTTCCCTGGTTATATGCTCTCACAGACTGCTGCCTGTCTCCCTGGTTATTTGCTCTCTCAGACTACTGCCTCTTTCCCTGGTTATATGCTCTCACAGACTGCTGCCTGTCTCCCTGGTTATTTGCTCTCTCAGACTGCTGCCTCTCTTCCTGGTTATATGCTCTCACAGACTGCTGCCTCTCTTCCTGGTTATATGCTCTAACAGACTGCTACCTCTCTTCCTGGTTATATGCTCTCACAGACTGCTGCCTCTCTCCATGGTTATATGCTCTCACAGACTGCTGCCTGCCCCCCTGGTTATATGCTCTCACAGACTGCTGCCTCTCTCCCTGGTTATATGCTCTCACAGACTGTTGCCTGTCTCCTTGGTTATATGCTCTCACAGACTGCTGCCTGTCTCCCTGGTTATATGCTCTTTGTAGATTGTGAGGCCTTAAGTTGTAGCTTTTTTAGCTTAACCTAAACCGGGCATTGGCTCTTAATGTTTTGCTCACACTGGTATTTCTATGTTCTTTAGATGTTTGTCTCAGGTCTTTGAAATGTGTTGTTTAGATAGTTGTCCCAGGTCTTTGAAATGTGTTGTTTAGATGTTTGTCCCAGGTCTTTGAAATGTGTTGTTTAGATGTTTGTCCCAGGTCTTTGAAATGTGTTGTTTAGATAGTTGTCCCAGGTCTTTGAAATGTGTTGTTTAGATGTTTGTCCCAGGTCTTTGAAATGTGTTGTTTAGATGTTTGTATCAGGTCCTTAAAATACATTTTTTAGATGTCTCTAGATGTTTGTCTCGGGTTGTTGAAACATGTAGTTTAGATTTGTTTAGATGTTTGTTTTAGATCTTTGAATTACATTGAAAAACATAATTGGTCTCAATATGTAGATGACTGTCCAACTGGCCAACCATCGGTAAATCATGATGATAAAACTATATATAGATGACAATCCGTCACCATTTTGGAATTCAGACAAATTCAGTGAAATAAAACATCCAACAACCTGCTCTCCACTGTTTGAATTTAACAATGGAGAGAGAGAGAGAGAGGAGAGAGAGAGAGAGAGAGAGAGAGAGAGAGAGAGAGAGAGAGAGAGAGAAAAAAAAAAAAACTGTGATGTTGCTTAAAAAGGAGAGACGATTGTGTAGCTTCTTCTTCCCTTCCACCGGTGAATTGTTCGTGTTGTTTGTTCATCTTAAGTGAATTGTTCGTGTTGTTTGTTAATCTTAAGTGAATTTAGATCCTAGTCTTATTCCAGAACGTGAGTGTTGGGCGCACATACGTATTGCAGATCTTGCTTATGTTTTATGCAGACTGTTAGTTCTTTGACTTTCAGATAGATACACTGCGAAGAAAGCGCCCAGGTAATTTACTCTTACGACATGCTTCTTGGGGAAGCATGGGTCTATTCTTCAAGACGTTAACTCATCAAATGAAATAAGGACCCGGAAGTAATTGCTTGTAATTTCTAGTTATACACTGACATATAACCACAGTCTTGACTGCCGATATTGACAACTGTTTATGGTGGTGTCTGGTGGGAAAGGTTGTGTGTGTGGGGGTCTTGAGCCTCTTGATTTAGGGCTAGTGCAGTCGCCACAAACTGTGCAGCCTAGCCTTTTTTTTTTCTTGACATAACACATATTACCCCGATCACCTTACGGATGATTCGAACCTGGGTCTCTCAAAAGAGAGCTCTGCCTTAAACTGGCGGCCAGCCATTTTTCTTACTAACAACAGTTGAATGAAAAGCGATACGTTGTTGATACAGCCACCGATTCTACGAGTTTCCCTGTCTTTGTTGCTTGCTCCTCAGTTAGACCGAAAAGCCATCACCGGCCATCTTGATGTCGACGCCTGCTCCCGCCATGGACTAGGAGGACGTCAGCGTGCTAAGTGAATGGCTTGAGTTGAGGCCGTCGATGTGAGCAACCGAAGGGGCATCACTAGCGATGACTGGGACGCAAGGGGAGACAACATGTTTCTATGGCAACAGAAAGCCGTGACTAGGTATACTGCCTAATGATGGAGTAGTTCCAGGGAATTAATTGCACGTGGTGTTCCTCTAGGACGGGCTAAAAATAAGGCACGCACGAATCCTGACATTGGGATTTGAATGTGTTACATAAAAAAAGTACAGAGAGCGGGGACGAGACACAGAGGCTCACATAGAGAAATAAAGAGAGAGAGAGAGAGAGAGAGAGAGAGAGAGAGAGAGAGAGAGAGAATGACAGAATGACAGAATGAGAGAGAGAGTGACAGACAGACAGACAGACAGACAGACAGACAGACAGACAGACAGACAGACAGACAGACAGACAGACAGACAGACAGACAGACAGACAGACAGACAGACAGACAGACACGACAGACAGACAGACAGACAGACAGACAGACAGACAGACGACGGACAAACAGGCAGGCAGGCAAACGGACAGAAGGACGGACAGACAGACGATCAGAGAGAGAGAGAGAGAGAGAGATCATAGCCTAACTGTATTTGCAAACATGAACAAACACATAAAATAACAGAGACAATGAGTTATGGTGGATATTATGCAAGCGAGTGACGTGCGTTTCCAACACGGCTAAATGTTAGATCTTCTTCAACCTTCTATCTCCTTGTAATGTGGTCCCGGTCTATGTCACATCACTATTTCCTATCACAGTGACCTGATGAGCCATGATATGAGCGCGAATCCGGAAATCTACATTACAAGAAGATAGAAGGTTGAAGTAGATACAGACCACTCACGGAGAGAGATCAGCAGAATCGGCTCTGCCACTGGTGTCTGCTAGTAGTCGCAAAACTCCAGTTCTTAGAGAAGAGTGCAGAGAGTGGTCAGCAGGTGCTACGGAGGTGGAAGTCCAGCAGTTGATTCACGACATTTCCCGCCCAAGGGATGTGAGTATCTATACAGACGGCTCTGTGTTGAGGGGCAGACCAAGTGCATGAAGGTTTATAGTAAAGGCGCATGGACGTCGCTTGGTGCAACACAGCCTGGCATATGATATCACAAAGTCTAGTTTGAGAATAGAGGTGGAGGCAGTCACTGCTGCCTTTCGCTGGCTTGAGAATCAGCTGTAAACACACATGCCGTGATTGTAACTGACTCACATAATATGTTGAAAAAGGTGGAGACAGGTATGCTCCGTGAAGAGTGGCAAGCGTCACTTCAGAGGTCCCGGTTAGTTAGCATCCTTTGGATATTCTCTTCAGGTCATGCCGGTGTGTTGGGAAATGAGCAGGCAGATAGACTGGTCGGTTCTGCACCACTTGGTGGTGAATTGAT